ATATTAATTTTTTCTTCACCCCCCTCCCCCCGCAAACTGCATAAGATCCTGTGGAAAGAGCTAGACCAGTGTTTTTCAAACTTGGCAACTTTAAGATGGGTGGACTTCAACTCCCAGAATTCCCCAGCCAGCATGCTGGGGAGCTAGACTAAGAATTGCTTATAGCGCTTTTGCCAAGCTAAAATCCCAAGAATTATTTTAGAAGATCTAAGGAAAAAACTAAATTGGGCTCACCCTGAGCTTTGCCTCTTGCAGAGAGGTTCCAGGATTTATTTTTTCACACTCGCAGGTTCCACAGCCTGAAAAAGTTTGTAAACCCCCGGTCTAGGATAGCATTCTCCCCTCTCCCTTTAAATGCAGAACCAGGCACATAGGTCTGGGATATGTACAGAATAAAGTTTACACCAATTGGCCCAAATGCTCTCCTGATTTATGGTTAGATTATCCAGAGACGGGAAAACTCAGGGGACAGAAGAATGGAATTTGCATGAGGCTCCAATTCATCCTTCCAGATGTAAAAGGGTTGGCTTGTGATACGGATGGGGGGATATGTGCTCTTTGACATCTGTACAAGGAGACAAAGGTCAGATAGGGAGATCTGTCTAACCCGATTGCACTAGCCTTGCAAACAGGTGGTCCAAAAAAGCTAACAATGAAAGCACGCCAGGGAACACTCAGTCAAAAGCACAACTGCAGATCCGTAAAGATTTCCTATCCAAAGCTTCATGGATCACATTTCCCCCTCCTCCTCTTTTTCTCCAGAATACATTGCTTTCTCCGTCACAGGCAAATTGTAGGCAACCACCATTCTAATTCCATGAAAGAAGATGGCTGTCTTCCATGGCTTGCAAAATAACTTAATATTTACCATTTGGTTGTTTAGGACTTGAAGGAACAGTCCTTCTCCAAGCTGGTGCTCTTGCATTGGGACTGCAACTCCTGGAATTTTCAACCAGCATGTCTTAAGGTTCAAGAAGACACGACCCCATGAAAAGGATACGGGTTTCATACTGGGAAGCATTATAACAAGGTCCTATTCTGTGAATGAATTATTATTTCTGATTACTTCTCCCAGGTAACACTTAAAACGCCTCCTCAATTTCACCTCCATTTTCCCTCTATCTTATGCCATTTCTACATTTTCTCCATAAGCAATGATTAAAAAGTGGGGAGACACAGGGTTGGTGGAAGAAATGGGAAGAACATGTTTTTCCTAGCGGTCTTTATCTGGGAGATGGCAGATGAAACAGAGAAATTTGAACTGTTGGGAGGATATTAATAGTGCTTTCATTTTTGAGTTTCCTCTCCACTGGCTGATGGTCCATAAACAACATACTCAAATTAAGTGCTATTTTCAATAGTTGAAGAGTTTGGGGAAGGGGTCTACTACTTCCAATCAATCAGGATGGGCAACATTTTTGAAACTGGGGAGGCATAATTTAATTTAGATGTATTTGGGAACTCTCAAAGGGCTAGGGCAGAATGTTTCCCTTTCTCCCCCTAATTTTGCAAGATTTGAGAATTTTCTAACCAGTAAAACAGGCATGTTTGGCCTAACAAAGGGTTAAATACATACTATCACATGATGGTGGTGGTGGTGATGATGATGATGATGATGATGATTCATTGAAACTATGGGTTGACTGATCAACTGTCTGATCTATAGACCAGTTGTTGGCAGCATAATTTTTGTATCTCTTGGGTTCCATCTAGTGATCATCTGGATTTGTGCAGCCATTGGGTCAGTGCTGCTGAAAAAGAAAGGGTTAGCTATGGGAACTGGTGGAGGAGCTGTAAACTATTCTAAGAACTTTCCAAGGGGAGGTAGGAAAGGAACGGCAGCCACTAGGAAGGAAAGTTTCTACCAGGGCTATCTCTGGCTTAATGCATCTAACTGGAAGTGTAAATAAAAGGACTTGTATCTTGTATTTCTCCCTCACAGCCAAAAGAGGTGAAGAACAGGTCAGGGACTAGATATAAGAGGGTAGTCCCATAGGAAAACAGCAGAATTAATTGGAGCCACACGTTTACCAACACTGAACATGTCATTTCAGGCTACTTCACTCATATGCATCAATGCACCTAAACTGCCCACACAGGGTCTGGAAGCAACATAAAAGGGGAAATACCACTTCCAGACAGAAACATCTAAACCTTGGGCTGATTCAGTTGCGTATGGAGAAAGAGATACTGGCAATGGCATGAGCACAGCACCTCTGGAAATCAGTCAAGGCAAGGAGGCTGGGTAGATTTGCCCATAGTCTGAGATCAGGAGAGTGCAAGGAAGCAAAATCGGCAACTGTGGTTGGTGTATAATATATCACGACAGGCTGGTCCTAGTAGAAAATAGAAGGAACCTGGTCTTCAGGCTGTCCCAAGCCATCAATGCAACACCATTAGCCTGTTGAAATTCAGACTCTCCATCAGGGGAGGGAACTTCTGTCCTTCCAGATGTTGCTGATTAATTCTTAAGCCCCAAGTGACATGGTAATAATCAGTGGAAACTATTTTAGGCTCAACACATCTGGAAGACCAGTTCCTCAGTCCTGCTCAAGGTTTGCTGTTTTCCACACTGAAGCCAGTTAGAAAGCCTCTGCAAAAGCACACTTTCAAGGTCTTGGTTTGGGTGTGGCCAAGGATGCCTCATCACTTTGCCTAGCTCTGAGTGTTTGTTACCAGTCTGAATGTTTGCTTTAAAAAAGCCAGCCAAACAAAGTCCAGATATGTTGAATTACAGTGCTTATACTGGTTGTGAGATGAGACTTATAATTTAATACATCTGAAGAGCACCAAGTTGGGAATGTCGGCTTCAAGACATATTTTTAAGAATCAATGTATTTTTCCATCCTTTCCGCCAAAATTGTTGTCTGCTATTCACTGTTCTTGCACAAAGAGCCTCTACAGAAAAACCTTTGTTGCTTAACAAAATGGGGCTGTTTTTTGCCTTCTCTTTAGACCAGCTTTGATAACTCAGCTTAAATAAAACTGGTATGACAAAAATATCAAATTCAGATGAAGCACAGGCCATTACAGCCCTCCAACAGAATGATAAATACTGTTTTCAAAGTTTTCAAAACTTGTTTTCAGGTTTTAAAACTAAATCCATACTGTAATGTTTCTGACACAAAAACTGACCTACAAAACAAAGCAAATCTTTCCACATGCCAGTGTCTCAGCTGCAAGATTTTTTTTATGGAGTACATTAAGATGGGAACATTTCCTGTAATATTGAGGTAAGCAAGTTGGTACCTTCTCCTTATTTTGGACTAGAGATTCCATAATCCTTTGCAATGAACTGCTAGCAAGGGCTGATGGGAATTCATATTCAAAACCTCTGGGGAGCATCAGGTTACCTACAGTGCTTCTGTTGTTAAGTCTTTGTTAAATGTGATAAGAAAGAGGGGGCTGGCTATGGATATATATCTGGTTTTTTTAAACAATTGAAATATAAAATAAGCCAACTCAAAATCACTGAGATTTTCACCTGGAATTCTCTTGAACCACCTGTACAAGTCATGGAAGGGAAGATAGAAAGAGCACCATTTGTTTGGGCTTTTCTAATCAATGAAATGCCTATATAATTGAGACTCTCTCTCCAATCTATATATAATTTGGCAGATTCTAATATTTTGAGAAAGTAGACTAGGCTTCATTCTTATAGAAAACACAGAAGTTACAAACAGATGATAAGCAACAGGCTAATAAAAATATTTATAAGTAGGAGACCCTTTGTCATTATCTATTTCAAAACGGCAGATTTGAAAAAGTAATAATAAAATGCCTGCGAATATAATGCTATTTGGATGGAAAAATCTTAAAATCAGAGGCACCCAAAGAATAAGCTAAGTCTCCCATAGAAAATGACTGGAAAGAAAAACAAATGGGAATAATAAAAACCACAAAACCAGCTATGAAAATCAAAGAAAAAGCAAATGTGTGAATAATTTTTGTTTAAATAATGGAACTAATAAAGTAAGTAACTAGTATTTTTTTTTCCCCCTTGCGCTCCCTTAACATCAAGCAGAAACCAGAAAGGAAAAATACAGCCATTGAAGAATAACTAAATAGAATCATTGGGATGAATGCGTGTAAGGATTTGCAAGCAAATTCAGTGTCAGTGAAGCAGAGTAGCAAATCTTAAAGCTCCACCTTGGGCAAGGCATTAAAAAAACTGACATGGAAGGAAACTTTACTTAGACTCACAGATTCCTGAAACAGAGAGAAGATGGGGCGATGGGGCAGATTAGTAGAAATGACTGGGGATGTTGGGAAAGTCTTCTCTGCTTGGGGCTTACCCATAAGCTACTGCCATAAAAAGTCTTCTTTTTTTTTTAATCATTTTTCCTTTATATAAAATTGTTCACCCATACTATCACACCATCTTTTAGTTCAAATAAATCTAAACAAAATTATAGGGAACAGCAAAATTCACCCCACTACCTTCTGGCTTAAAAAGTCTGGGGAACTTTTTAAGCCTAGGGAATGTCCCCATACAATGTGAGGGATTTTCAGTGCCATAAAACACAGTTTTGAACATGGGAAGGAATAATAGATATGAGTGTGGGCATGTGTACAGGCAAATCTTCCCTGCTCATAGCAAACACCCCCCACCCCCAGTAAACACACAAAAAAGAAGAGATCTGGAGGACTTAGGCCTTATGGTTGGAGCATAAATCAATTTCTCAAACTTTTGATATGCTAACCCAGGGTTTCTCAACCTTGGCAACTTTAAGACGTGTGGACTTCAACTCCCAGAATTCCCC